CAGAGCGACCTCTGGTCCACGTACACGGGCACGTGTTCCCCGATTGCGCTGTCGGGGACGAGGGAGGAGACCTGGCTCATTCTCTCAGGGACCCCACAGGGTGGGAGGAAGATAGGACAGAGGCAGAGCTGATAACACAAGGGCACATCTAAGTGTTAAGTGGGTAATAAGAAAGCCTAAATAGACAGTCTCAACAATAATCGTTTCCATGTATGGAGTGTTTGCTCCATGCCGGGCCCCATTCCAAGGACTTAGGTACTTGAGTCTTGAATTCTCACTACAACCCGTGACCTCGGTGTGCAGTATGGGAGAAGGTGTGGGGAGGCAGTAGGGTGCAGTGGGTAGTGCTGGGCTCTGGAATCAGATCACAGGATCCTGGTCCCAGCTGTGTCCAGGCCTCTCCTGCTGCAGAGAGAGAATATCCACTCCCAGGGATTTAGTTGGGGTGTCCGCCCTCCGCTACCGGCCATGTGACCTTCTGAGTATTGATATCCCTCTCTCTGCTTCCATTTCCTCATCTATGAAATAAGAATAATCATCGAAATTACCTTATAGAGTTGATATTAATGAGATAACGTAAGTATTGCGCTTAAACCAACGCCCCACATGGAGTCACTGGTCTGTGAACACCAGGCTTTATGACCCTCAGAGACGTCAGATAACTTGCCGGCATTCACCCAATAAATTCATAGCAGAATGAGAATTCTAGCTCAAACCTGACTGATCCCAAGGCCCTCAGATCTTAACCGCTTCACCCCAGAGGTGGTTCAGAGAGCAGTAAATCATAATGGATTAGTGTGAAAAGGGGTGAGATTTACAGAGAATGTGACAAGGTTTGAAGGATGGAGTAGAATTTATTGAAAAAGAAATGAAGACTCTAGGCTTTGATGGAGAAAGATCTCTTAGCTAACCAAAGGCCCATCTTTACCAACGACCACCTCTGGGTTTATTTCTGTCCCGCCAGCCAGACTCACCCTCCCTCCAGCAAAGGAGACGCGGTGGCTGAGATGCCCGCCGCTGAGGATGCTCTGAGGGTCAAACCGCTGCCCGTCCCATCACCAGTCTTGGGCAGTGGTTCTCTGGGGCTTGGTTTCTTCTGTTCTGTTTTAGATCTTGCTTGCTAATGTGCATGTGGCTTTAAGAAAGAAAATCTAGTATGTTAGCACTTAATTAGGTAAATATTTTATTTAAGTTAGAAACAATATTTATAAATGTGGCAGGAAAGATATCCCACCTCTGTTCTCCTTGGGAGAACTAAGGTCGTCCCAAAGTTAAGGAACTGGAGCAACTATGTGTATATGTTCATGTATACGTGTGTGCTTATGTTTATGCACATGTGTATGTATACCCATTTCTGTGTCTATATCTATATCTATGTATCTGTATTGAAATGCACAGAAGTTTGGGAAGCACTCAGCATTAGGAGCGACGGGAGACTGCCCAGCAGGAATTTAATCTTTGTAGCCCATTTAGTGTCTAATTATATTTTGCTTACTAACCTCAGGCTCAACCACAGTGATGGTGGCCCCTCCTCTTTCTTCTCCATCCTCGGTTCTGGCGTCTTTAACAGTCTGTGAGGAGAGAGGATGACGGCTGATGCACAGAGGGGTGGGGACCGGGGGAGGGCGGAGGGAAGCAGGCAGCAGCGAGGCCGAGGGACGGAGGGAGAGGACGAGTGTGGGAGACGCGGTGGGCAGGCACTTGGTGTGAGGGGAGCGGGGAAGAGGAAGACCCCTCTGCTGTGGACTGAGGGATGCCTCACGTAGACTGGGGGGCCGCTCCCGGAAGCACGGGGCCCTCTGGTTCTGCACGAGAACCTTCTTCACATCTGAGGCAGAGGGCTGACTAAATCTTTTTGGCATTCCCAATCTGTGTTCAACATATTTTTACCGCTCCACCCCCCATTACCAGCTGAAGCTGGATTCCACCAATAAGGAAGACGGGGTCGTGAAGATGGTCCCCAACGGACACATTTCACCAGTGGACAGCAAGGCCATGTCCCCCCTCCTGCTATGGTAAGAGGCATAGGTCTAATGAAATAAGTAGTTTTACGTACTATTCACTTCTCTCTCTTCACCCAGCACAGCTCAGATCTCTGGACCATTTTCCTACCTTACCAAAGCCCTGAAGCACATTTGAAAATCTTGTAGTGGTGATATTTTTTTCTAATGCACGTCACACCTTTGTTTGAGGTTTCATCATCTCTTGCAATCAACAGCTTGTTGGTCTCCGCGTCTTCCAATCTACTTGGTAACCGATGCTGGGATTGTCTTTCTAAAGCACAAATCTACAACTGTCATTTTCCTGCTTTTCATTGTACCTGCTTTTTTTATGCTTCAGTTTCCTTTCTCTCCCAAATGAAATGTAACATGGAATCCCAACCTACGAAACAGCGAAGGAGGCCTGCTCCGTGGGAGTGGCATTGGGTGGGGGCAGAATCTCTGCTCACTCACAGTGTCTTTTGCCCCCTTGACCTTGACCAGTCCCCGTCCTCTCAGTGGCGTCCACAGGATCCCTTGGAACCCCTTTTGAGCACAGCCATTCTAAAGCACACGGCCCAGCTTCTCCAGCCTCGTCTCCTGCTGTTTCCACGCAGCTCCCAGTCCAGGCCACTCCTTGCATTTCCTGCTTTGCACAGTCTGCCTTCTCTGCCTGGAGCGCTCTCCTCCTCCTCGCTACCCGCTGATGTCCTCTCATCCTTGGAGAAGAGGCTCAAATGTCACCTTTAGAGAGCCATTCACGACATCCCTGGAGAGACCTGGGCACCCTTGTGTCCACGGCTCTCCCTGGCTGTCTCTGTGATGCCATTTACCATGCACGATTCTGCAGTTCTTTGTCTGCATCTGTATCATTCTTCACTCGGCTATCAGAGAGGCATGTCTTACTGTGCTTGTCCCCTTACCCTGTCCCTACCTCCTAGCACAGTGCTTGTCACATAGCAGATTTAAATGATCATCATTGGTTAAACGGGGAAAAATGGAACCCTGAGCCCAAGGCAGAATCAGAGAGCATCTTGAGTCCATTGAGAGCTCAGCAAATTTGGTGAAAATAAGTGAACATTTTCTTCATTCCTTGTGGAGTAATCTAGCAGTGATTTTTGCCCTTCACACTATGTCATCAAGACAAAATGGACTTTTTAGGCCACATTTTCAGTCACGGTGTCCTGAGTCAAGCGACACTGAGGAAAATGGTTCCCTGACATTCCTGGGAAATGATTCTCTTTCTTTTTCAGGCCCAACTCACACGGGACCCTCTCCCTGGGCCTCGGTGGGCGTCTCATGCCTGTGTTAGTCTCTCCTCATGTGGCTCCTCTAAGGGCAACTGCTCTCTGCTGAAGAGCCCTCTCCTGAATTCCCCACCCTGGACTCAATCAGGATTTCGAGTTGAAATATGGTGATCCGTGGAAGCCAAAGCTGGGTCTTGGGGCTGGCCCCGTGGCTGAGTGGTTAAGTTCATGCACTCTGCTTCGGCGGCCCAGGGTGTTGCCGGTTCAAATCCTGGGCGTGGACATGGCACCGCTCATCAAACCGTGCTGACACGGCATCTCACATGCCACAACTAGAAGGACCCACAACTAAAAATACACAGCTACGTACCAGGGGCTTTGGGAGAAAAAGGAAAAATAAAATCTTAAAAAAAACCCTGGGTCTTGTGGCTCTTAGTACTCGGTCTCCTCTGTTAAGCAACAAAAGACTTGAGTCTCCAAGGACTCTTTCTTCAAAGCCTTAGCAAAAAAAAAAAAAAAAAAAAAAAATTCAGGGTAAGAAAGCTTGCTGAAACATATGCCATTTGTTATTTTGAGCACGTGGATCTTCTTTAGAAGTCTTGTAGAAAGGTAAAGATGCCTATCCAAAAAAGGGGAAATTACTTAGCAGCCTTCAGATTTCAAAGATGTGGCAGAATTTAACTAAGGCCAAATGTGTCTTTGTGAGGAGAGTCCAATAATGGGCACCAGGAGGTGTGCAAGAGAAAGTGCAGGTAAGAGGAGCTGGGCCATCTGCGACAGGCACGCTTACTTTCTCTGCGGCAGGTAGAGGCTGCTGGGAGCTGGGAGGAAAGGAGAGCTGGAAACGAGAATCTTCCTAGGGACCGTGTACCCCAGCAGATGGTGGCAGGCCGGGGCCCAAGGCAAGAAAGTGCTGGTGAGAAATTTCCCCTGGGGGATGGCTGGGGAACTACAGTACAGTATCGTCCTGTATTCAGTTTTCAGTTGTTTATTATTTCTTGGAGGGCTATCCCTCTTCCTTATTCCCAAACATTCAGAAAATTCTGTGGTGCACAATGGCTTTTTGTTGGTGGTGCATTTCAGAAGAAATGAGGAGAAAGGTGGCTGCACAGAGCATGGAAAGAGGAGAGTAGTCCCAGGAGAAGGGAAAGGAAGCAGAGATCAAAGTCAGGAGAAGCAAGAAGTCCCCGCATGAGGTAGCTAGGATGGGAGTAGACTCCCGGGAAATGCCGTGGAATCTGCAGGGGTGCGCTGTACCCGTTTCTGGACCGGGACCCAACCATTTCCTTTAGATATTAAAGGAAAGGGTGATCCTCTCCTTTTGTGCTGCAAAAGGAAAATGTCACAGAAGACTGTGTGTGCTTCTCAGAAGGGTGCTGCTCCTCTTCACCAGCACGTCTGTGTGAGGCACTCTAAGATTCGAGCATCTCGATTTTAGAGCACTCATGTCACATTCAATACAATACAGTATATTGTTGTAAGAGTATGAAACCATCTTAGTTGCTTTTGATATTATTATGTATTCTTGATATAATTATTAATTTCTGTTGTAGAATTTAGTTTTTTATTTTGGACCCAATACAGTTTCTAAGATCAGATCATATACGTTTTCATGGACCTCTGCAAAGCTTGTGCGCCTTCAGCCCTGTGCTCAGACAGGCGTTGTCAGCTTCCTTCGACGAACCCAGATGCTTAACTCACACCCAAAGATGCTTGATTTAGACCCTGATTTTTCAAGTGGAATTTCAGTAGATTAATGAAAATAGCATAGAAACAATTTTTAGTGTAGGTCTTTATCTATAACCCTTTTGATTATCAATTAGGCTCTTGTTTCTAGTTAAAAAACAAAACAAAACAATGCACACAGTAATTGATAAATTAAAACCTTCAAAGTAAACCTCAAGCCCTGATGAGAATTCTAATTTTTTAAAGTGTTTTCATGTCAAGAGACTATTTAAAGTGCAGGTTTTAGAGAATTTTCCTTTTTAGTAGAATTCTCTTAGCTCCTCCGAGTTGGGCGGCGACGCCTTTAATTTGATCTGGCCACGCTCCCTCCATCTGTTTTCCCGTGATGCTCTCATTCTCTCCTCCAGATGTTTGGCACAGCATCTCAACTCGATGTCTATTTCTTCGTGTCCTCCTTCACCTCATGTGAACCTTCCGAGTCATAATTCTTTGGAAACAGACGCAAGGAGCTTTATTTTGAATTACCATCTTCTACTTAAGGGGTTCCATCCGTAAGGTCAGTACAAGTCAAAAACATTTCTTTCTCGTTGTAGAACTTCTTGTCTGTGTATACTAAAAAAAACAGAAAGAAAGAGACCAGAAGTACAAGATGGTTAAGCAACATCCTCATGTTCACATAAGCCAGAGACTCAGGAATAGGAATTAAACATCAAGAATTTTATTTTTGATTCTTAACATTTGATTTACTGAAAACTGAAGCTACTCCATCAGCCACTCCCCACCTTCAACCTCCGTCAATGCCTCTATCCGATAGGGGGGTCAAATACCTGATGGGAAATGAAAGAATTCTCAGGGACATATGGCAGCAAAGGATCATTTGAACGCCTGCTGGAAAGACAAATGACTCGCTTCCCTGCTCGCTCGCTGTGTCAGAGCTCTCGGCCGCTCAGCTCAGCATAGGCAGTCTTGTGCTCCAGCTCATCTGCTGCTTTTCAAAGCAAACTAAATGGAAATGAAGGTTTAAATATCTGGACACTAAATCATGATTTAAAACAAAAATCTAGTAGCATGAAAAAAATTTCCTGACAAAGTGTACAGCGTGTTAGGAAAATTCTTCTCCGAGACCACCTGCTCATATTCTATTTTATAACCGGAGAGAATGCTGCCTTCTGTCCAAAACCGAGAGAGAATTAGAGCTTTCTGACAAGGAAGGAAAAAAAAGCTGTAAACCTCATTAAGAGCTTAGGTAGTTTTCATGGTGCAAAGGAACCTGCAAAACAGAAAAGCGCTCCTTCCGCTCATGTGAAAGCAGCTTCTCCTTCCGAGTGTCTCCCATTCACCCTTTCTCCTTCATCCTTACCGCCAGTGTGGGGTAAAATGGGATCGGCTCCCGCTGCGCTGGGCCATGGCCTTGAGCACGCAGCTCCCTGCTTCCGGCTCTCCTGGAGCCTGTCCATCTACTAGAACTCCTTCCGGGGGAAACCTGCCTGCCTTAGAAGAAATACCTCAAGGGGCTGGGGGAGAAGGTGAGGCAGCAAGGACCCTCCCAAAGGCAGGGGTGGAACTGCACTGAGAGACCATGAGAACAGCCTCTTGCCTGTCAGAGGGAAAGAGATAGAAAAACAAAAAGCAGGGGATGGAACTAGATCAAATGGGCAGGTGAGGCAGGAGATCTCTCTGTCCTTGATGTGACCTTTTCCCCATGACCCCCATTCACCCTTAGATGGTCACCAAGCTCATACAGTGTTTGAAGATGGTGCAACTTTGCGGAAACCTAGGATGGAGCTGAGCAGGACATCTACACAGATGTGCAGGCCAGGAGCGTGGAGGTGGTGGGAACTGAGAGCATGTGAATAAACACGAGAAAGCACGGAAAAGGTGGGGAGGGCTTTGAAGCATCAGGTCCGGCTTGGCTCCAGTCAGAGCCCTCAGGGCATGGTGCCGGCTGAGTTTCAGATTAGCTGGGTGACTAAGTTTCCCTGTGGAGTTGACTTTGAACTCCTCAGCCCCACATTCCGCCCTTCACCTTGACTGACTGCATTCCAGCCTCCTTTCCTGGATCTTCCAAGTCAGCCAACTGTGCTGGTCATTTTCCCATGGGCGTGAGAATCAAATCCCAGGGCCACCAGTTAGGACTGCGTGATCTTGGGGAAATTACTCAGCACTTCAGAATTTTGTTCTATCCACCTGGAAATTGGGAGTAACCTCATAGGGCTATTTCAAGAACTGAACATGAGAATGTGTTAAAAAACCTGTTACCTGCTTCTCACACTGCAGATACTCAGTCTCATCTCCTACCCTCTTTCCTCTCTTTTTCTTGTGAATTTTTGCTTCTACTGGTCATTTCACCTGACTTGGTCTCGCTCAGACTCAAAGTGCACCTACTTCAAAATACTCTCATACTTGGCAGCATGGCCCAACCTTCCAGTCACCATTGGCTCTCTCCTCTCCCCTCGTTGACTGCAAACATGCAAGAACATTCATCGTTCCACCCCTCGTTGCATCTAAAGAGTCTGCAGACAGGATGCCCTCCATAAATATTTACTGAATAAACCCTCCATTGTTGTTTACCGCAATGTTCCACACGATTTTCTGTCGTGAACATTTAACCTTATTCCATTAAATTCTCAAAAATAAGGCGGAATTTCTCTACTGAATATTTCTCACTGAGTTTTCAAGGATCACATTTTAAATATCAAGCCACATTGCCTTGAAGATGTCTGTCACTGCCTAGGTCATGACCGGTACAATGTTTGACATAAATCAAGTCATAATATGAAATTGAGTGGAATTTATTTCAAGCTTCACACTAATGAAGGGAGGAAAATAAAATGATTTGGAGAAGAGCTGCTGAACAATGGACAGCCTGTTAATGTAAAAAATGAGATGTTTCTTTTCGCCATCCCTCAATTACTGGGATGGCAAGTGTCTGTTTTATGTTGTTGCTTATGTTTTCAATTGAGGAGTAAACTCTGCCTGTAGCCAGTTAATCATCTGAGCCTTCCGGAAAACTTAACCAGGAGGTCATTATTTCTTCCTTCACATCCTCACAGCACATCAACAATCACAGGGATGCACACTCTGCAGGTAATTCATGTGGTAAATTCAGAACCACACATTATGGCTGTTAGACCTGCCAGATGTGCCCGGTCCCTTGCTGCAATTAAGTTCCAATATAGCCCAATTTGAGAGAGATCGAGAAGCCACAATTCTAATTAAGAATATTCATGAGTTTGCACCTTGGAAAGCCAGAAGTCACATAATGTGCCAGAGAAGACAAGATCCTTTCCTTTGAGAAGAGGAGAAAAAATGCAATGTGAAACAGTCACCAGGTACACACTACGGGAAGCTCAGAAGTGAAAGGAGGTGTGGGGCTGAGTGAACTATTTGACCTCTTGGCCAAGCCTGTCTCAAAAAGGATTAAGGGGCTATGGCAGGCCTCCTAACGCTGCTGTGCATTATCATCTGAAAAGCTTAAAAAAGAAAATCACCCGTGCCTGGGTCCACCCACAGGGTGAGTGTAGATGGAGAGAAAGAAGCAGGATTGTTGGCAGCCTCGTCTCCACACAGAAGGAGTCACCTCTAGGCAGTTGCTATGGTAACCACGAGCATGTTCTTCTTCGACATTAAAAATGAGAACTCAGAGCATCTTCAGCTGGGCTAGAAACAGGTGCCATGTGTAGCATGTTCGAAATAGGGCCACCCAGCGGAATGAGGCAACACAGGGGCTTTCTGCTACACCGGCAATGCATCCTCAGAGGTGCCCAACGGCATGTTCAGAAGAAACCTGGGAAATGATCTTCATCAAGATGCTGGCCTGAAGTGGTGGAGTTTATACTTTGAGAACCATTTTCTCTTGAGTCCATTGTCATCCCTGGAGTTAGAACCCTTCAAAAGATGTGAAACCTGGGGTTGTGAGTTAAGAGACCAGGGTTCCGTTTCCATCCTTAACTAGCTGAGAGACTTGGGCAAATCACTGGACCTTTCTTGGTAATTTCTTTACCTCATAAAGGAAAGGTTTCTAGAGATAATTTCAGACGCATAGGAGTTGGAAGGGGCCTTAGAGGCAGTGGGTTTCATCCTACAGTGAACATCTGCTGTTTTGGTGCTTCCAAAATCCATTTCCCCTTTATTCCATAGCTGGCTCTTGGCTTTCCTTTGGAAATCAGTCTTCCCTCACTCTCAGGCTTTGTACGGACGCTCCTCTGACTCCAGAGGAGGGCATTTTCCCGAGGTCTGGCCAAGTGAAACATTTGCATTCCCCATCCTCACAGTGAGTGGGGTGAGGATGCAACTGAAGCTGGTCAAATCCAGTGAAACTCAATTCTGGTGCTTCTTTTGGAATTATGGTGAAGGACAAACTCTTCTACACTGGGCTTGAAGTTTTTGGGAAGCAAACCTGGAGAAGTGAGTAGTAATCTTGCCATGACAGAGGGAGAACATGCCTGAGGATGAAGCCAACACAGCAAATAATAGATGGAAAGCTAATAGATGGAGAGTGATAGTGCCCCCGTGACATAATTTAAAGCTCCTAGATCTAGCTGTGCCTGAAGCTGACATACCCTTTTCAGTTATCTAAATCAATAAAGTCTTTTCTTTTTAAAATTAAGCAGCTTTGAACTGGGTTTCTTTTACTTGCATCCAAAAGAGTTCTGATTAATACAAATCCTTCATTTTATAGGCTTAGGAAACTGACACCGAGGGTGATCACTTGTCTAGACTGAGATAAAGTCAGCAGTAGGACTAGAACCAGCATCTGAGCTTCTCAGTTCAAAGACTTTCAAGATACATCTAAACCTTGAATTAAAAAAAAATAAAGGTACTGACACTTTTTGAAATTTCCATTTAACTGGCTCGTTCCTCTGGTCCAGTAACATCAGTCTTCTTTTAATTCTTGATAGATTTATTTTCTTGCATCATTTTGCTGTTTCCGAATTCACTTATTTTGTAACTAGTATACCCACCAACCAAGTTAATGAGAAACAAATATGGCAACAATTCACCACTCAAATTAATATTTTGGTACAGTGTAGATAGAATAAACAAGAGGTTGTCTGAGTTTTTGATTTTTCAAATCTGGTTTTCAATACATTATAGCATCAAGACCTTGATTTCCGATTAGAGCAGAAGAGATAGATATCTTATAAAGGAAGAATATAGAATTAGAGGTTAATATATAGCCGAAAACTGAGCTCCATTGACTATCTTTCTCAATTGGTAGCTAGTGAATTAAGAGCCAAAAAATGAAAGGTTTTGCTAAATCTGTCAGTCCAGCTTAAGAGCTTCATTCTCCGTAAGCAGTGTACTCTCACAACCCGGAGTCCATCCCTCTGTCATGGCACTTGCGTTGAATGTCTCCCCCATTGGACCTTCAGCTCATATATGTCACAAGCCTTGGTTCAGTGGTCTCTAAGTCTCATGAGCACTTGGGCAATATGTGCTCTGTTTGTGTGTGGGGGCAGTTCAGAGCACAGGGCTGTTTCCAGTTTATTCCTTAGAGCATTGAGCCAACACGCTTCCTTTGACTATCTCCACGGTCTGCTATCAAGTTCATTTATTCGTTATTAGTAAATGGGAGAAGAGTTTCTAATATATTCAAACTAGTTTCAGGTTTTGAAAGTTTCACATGCACCATTTTTAATTAAGTAGAATCTCGTGGGGTTTTAGTGTTATATCTAATTGTTATATTTTCTTGTTCATGCCTTTAGTAATCATCCGGCAGTATATCACGGACTGGCACTCGGAGGCTGTGTGAACTGTGAGAACCCACATTCTGAGATCCTCTCAGGTCTTACTTGTTATCCTCCCCATCCGTCTCACATCATCTGGGGTATAGAAAGTGTGAACCTTTTTAGTTTTATATACCTTCAAGTATTGAAACCAACCAGAGAGAGAGCAGAATAAGGAACACTATGGAGTTTTATGTTATCGTGTCTACATGCAAATTTGTAAAGTTCCACCCCATTATAGAATAGAGAGGTCGGAAACACATTTTAATCTAGAGAAGGGGTGATATTACATTTATCAGTGCATAGCTATTTTTTTAAGCTAGGGAAAGTAGAGAAGAAATCAGAGCAATGTTAATTTTAAAAATAAGAGAAGACATCCAAACAGTGTATACTGGAGATTTCAATTTCCTTTTTCCATTGAAAAGTGGAATATTGTTTTAAAATTTGCATATTAGTGTTAAAGGAGAGAGAGTTCAGTTCTACACATAGTATCTCATTCGCTCCTCACAACATCCCTACTATGGTAAATATTATTATCCACGGTTTACACACGAAAGACTAGCTTTAGGGAGCTTACATAAATCGCTCACGGTCACGAAGACGGTAAGCAGCTGACTGCGCTGGAAGTCAAGTGTGCCTGACCCAGAGTTTCTGTCCTGACCACTCGGCTACATGGCTTCTCAAGGACTTGATGGCCCCTCTGTTTCATGTGTCAGCTATATGCTAAATGCTTTGCATTCGTCATCTCTGTTAATGTCACAATGATCCTGTGACTTGGATACTACCCTCTGCCCTTCATCGGTCAGGAAACAGGACTAGGTACCTTGCCCAAGGTCATAGAACTCATATGGCAGAGTGGTGCTATTAGACACCGTTAATTCCTTCAGCTCACGTTTATTAAACACGGCCTCTGTGCTGACAATCACAGGACTAGGGCCCGGGTGAGAAGGAAACACACAATTTCTAGTCTCAGGAACTTTCAATATTAGTAAAACATTTTTTGAACGAAGATATTAACTCATGCAAAAACTAAAGAACAGACACTGTCAAAGCATCTGTGTCTCTGAAGTTTGACTTCAGACTCTCGGAAGGGCCCTCCGGCTCCAGCGCCTCGCGGGAGCACTCTTTGAGGGGCGACTGCTCTGAGTTTAATCCACCTGCTTTGGAATCTGCGGAGAGCTGTGCTTTCACCCTGGGGCTCTAAGAAATCTTTGGCTTCCTTTCTGGTCTCCTTGGGCCCAAGCCCACCAGGTTGACCTGCTGAGCCCACCAACCCCTGCCCACCTCACTCTCAAGCTGTCTCCTCTCTTCCCCTGCCAGGCCCCTCCAATGACGAGCTGATCCCGTCCGCTTCCATCCCCACACTGCCCAGTTCTTCCTTAAGCCCCTGCCATCTGCCCTTGCCCTCACCCCAAACCCTGTGAGTTGAAAGGTTACCAGTGACCCATGCTACTAGTATGACAATCTTTTCTTAGTTACCTCCACCAACTTCCAATTTCAGCAGCAAATCCAGATCCCTTTGATTGGACTTTCCTGTTCTCTACAACCTGGCTGGGACAAAAGTTCTGTTTTCCTGCCCCAGGGCTCTGGTATAAACAGCTCTGCTTCAGCAAAACAGCTCTGGTCTGTGTTTCCTGAAGGCATTTTACGCATTTCTGTGTGAGGCAGACACAGCAGTGTTCTCATCAGGCAGATGAAGTGTGGCGTAGACGCCTAACAGAAGGGCTCCACAGATAGAGAAAAGAGAAGCTTCAATTAAATTATCCAGAATTTTTCCTTTAGAAAATCTGGAAAGAAGCATTTGAATTTCAGCACAAGTGGATGACCTGTACTTTAGAGTTGAGCGTGTGTGTGCAGCGTTTAATTCCACACGGGATGAGTTAGAGGGTGTATTTTCAGGACTTAGTACTTGAACCCATTGAACGTCACTAGATATAGGACTTGCAGAAAGTTTTCTGCCACACCGAGCCTCAATTACCTGCTACATAAATACAGTCCCTGCCTGAGAGGATTGTTTGGAGAATTAAAAGAAATGCACATCCCATGCTTAGCCTTGAGGAGGTGTTCGGCAAATGCTAGTGGCTGGAGATGCTGCCATTGCAGCTGCTCGTGCACGTGTCTCCTTACCAGACCAAACGGGTTAGAGTCCTGCGGCTGCTGTCACAGAGAGCCACAGCCTCAGTGCTGTAAAGCAGCAGAATGCATTCCGGCAAGTTCTGGAGGCCGGAAGTCTGAAGTCAAGGTGTCAACACAGCTCGCTCACTCTGGAAGCTCCAGGGGAGAAGGCTCCCTGCCTCTCCCAACTTTTGACGTCTGCCGAATTGTTCGGTGCTCACTGGCTTGTGGCCACGTCACTCGAATCTCTGCCCCGGCCTTCACACTGCCTCTCTTCTGTCCAGCTGGGTCAAATCTCTGTCTCACTCTTATAAGGACACTTGTGGTGGCGTTTAGGGTCTGCGCGGAGAACCCAGGATAATCCACTCCTCTTGAGATCCTTCCCTTAATCACTTCTGCAAAACCGTTTTTCTAAAGAAGATGATATTCACAGGTTCCAAGGAGCAGGCCTTGGACGTGTCTTTGGGAGCGGTGACCAGCTGATCGCACCAAATTAGAAAGGAGTGGCCCATTTCCTTCATCTTTGTGCCTCCCGCAACATCTAGAACTGTGAACACTGGATGATGGGTTCATGGGTGTTCACAGGTCATTAACAAGTAAACAAACACATGGATAATAAGTAAATTACCAGGGAGGTTCATGCTTGGACCAACGATGAGCGTGCATGTGCCCAAGGATTAACTTAAAAAATTAAAGCAGAGGAGGTGTCCAGCTAACATCCATTGAACAAAGAGCCTAATATTAAATATTTTATAACTAGTCAGCAGTTGATATGACTATTAATTAAATGATTAGAAAAAGTTAAATTTTCAATTAAAAACATCGTAACATGTGAGAAGCCCTGACCCGTGCGGTCCAGCCTTGTCCTGAGAGGTCCCACCCTCCAAGCAGCACAGCCCTCAAGGGGATTCCAGCACTTACCCCGACTTCTCTCAAACCTTTAAAGGCCCGAGGACGAGCGCACACAATTCTTACTGAAACCTCCTGTTCTAGTCCAGCCTCTAGCCTACTCTGAAATTTCTGCAAACAGCCCAGCCTCTCATTTTCTTGACCACAAAGGACACTCCCATTCATGGTGCCCCACCTTGTTGCCCCCTGTGGTAAAGGCACCCCTATTCTCTGCTGACCCCACCTCCATCTCAGCCAGGGGCGCTGGGAGGCGTGCACACTCCTTAGCACGTAGGTAGAGGGGCACCTTGGGGGTCCTGGAACTGATAATCACTGTTTGGCTGAACCAGCTGGCTTTCACTTCTGGCCTCCTTACAGGGCTCGCCAGTCACAGAAGGGTGTTAGCTCTCCCCTGGCAGTATATACAGGATCCAGAAATCAGATGTTTGGCAAATAGCCCACCTGGGTCCAGTCAAAATAAGATGAATAATTCTTCAACTAGAGTGAGATTAAAAAGACAGAGTCTGTGTGTGTAAATCCATTTTCTTTCTTAGAATCTTAGAAGTCACAAAACATGCACCACAGTAGTCCACGCACTTTTCATTGCCAAAGAGAAAATTCAAAATAAAGGCCCACTACTGAATGGATGGCTCAGTCAAAGGAGAGCCGTGACACATTAAATTCAATAAACCACTCAAGCTTCCGATCAGACACATTATGGGAACACTATAGGCTACAGTTTAAAAGATTAGTCCAGAAAGAAACAATATACTACTATATTGGCTTTCTTGCTGGCAGTTTCAGCTTCAGGCACAAGCCGATGCTACCTGATAGTTGCCATGGTAACCATGCGAGTGTTCAGCTGAAGCATTTTCAAATGGAAAAATAGAACATGATACATGAGTTTGCTGTTTAAAGAGAAAGAGATGGGCAGCAGCTTGAAAATGGGAGCCAGACAGTCTAAGTCCTGCAATGTCAAGCTCTCTAGTCTTCCGATTTTCATGAGGCTGGTTGAGGCTTGCGTGGCATGCCTGCTTGTGGGGGTCAAGACAGGCGGTGTCGTAGGTAACTTTCAGGGGAGAGAACAGGAGCATCCGTCAGGCTATGGAGGTTGGGAAGACTCTCTGTCCGTGGAGATTTGGGCCTGCCACCGTCCCCAAACTGCAGCTCGTCAGGTCCTGCTTTCACAACGGATTTTGCATCCGTCGGCTTAGCGGGCTCTGCCCGGCCACCTCCACGCCCTGAGTACCAATTCCCTGTTGGCTGTAGCTTTTGAAAGATTGAGGGGTGCGTTCAATGTTCATTCAATGGTCCTTTCGGCCTTTCTGAACATCACCCTACAGAAGGAGGTGCACGCCTTACCTCTGCCTGCAGCTGTGTCCCCACAAGCACCACTCCGCACCCCACCCCCGGGCGGCCCCTGCGCTGGACCACCTGCGCCCTCACTGGCAATGCTGCTGCTTTGTTTTCTGTGAGTTGTCAGCTTCCTGGGCAAGGTGGCGAACTACCTACACAGGCCAGAGCTAACCTTTTGTTGGACCTACATAATGTTTGAAAACCTAAGTCAGCATTCAATCAGGGGATTTCATGTCACATTCCAGTTCCGGCACCTCTAAACCTGTGTTCTTGGAGTGGCAGCAATTTACTGGAGCTGTGGATCAACTGTCCCGGTTAGCCCAAGGTCAGGTCCCTCACCCTCGGCTGTGGCTGTGTGACCACACTGCTTACCTGCCTGGTTCCTGTGACATCCGAAAGGACTCCCGTCCTTGAAGATAGGTCAGCATCCCGTCCTCCCTCTGTGCTCCTCATGTATTCGTTTCTCCCAGAGCCTAGCTCCTTCACTTGGTAGGTACACGATATAGACTCATTGATGAAAATCCAAGGTAATATCATCTATTTGATGAATACTTACTGCTTGTTCAGGCTCTCCTCCTCAGATAAAGTGAATCTGAGCTGCCTGCATGCCTGGTGATATGCACAGCCTTGGAACAAGAAAACTCTCGAGATGGGAAGGAGTTACTGGCAGTGAGAGTTTCACTAGAGGTGTGGGCCCGGTTCTGGGTCTCTCTCTTTAAGTGGAAGAGAAGGCTTGGCAAACTGGGGCACCTGTGCCACGGCAGCTGTTGCAGGCTGTTCAAGGGGACCTTTCTTATGGTCATCTATCTATCACCTATCCATCATCCACCCATCCATCCACCTATCCATCCACCCATCATCCATCCATCCATGCATTCAGTCAGTCATTCCATCAATGTTTATGGGACATTTTCACAACTAGGCGTTATGGAGAGTGAGAACAGGGAGGAGTCTGTTCTCTGTCCTTGTGGTTCTGCATAATCTAGTGGACTTTTAATTTTCATGCAGAGGGCTAAAACTACTGCTAAATGAACTTCATAATGAATTTCAGATCAAACCGAGCCAGACAAATCCAAAAAGAAGGAAGAGAAGGAGGAAGAGGAGGAGGAGAGATGTATGGCCAAAACATAGATGGAAACTGCTTAACTTCTCAACACGCAAAGAAATAAAATTGAAACAATAACGGCATGTCTTTATAAGTACTCAACTTGGCAAAGAGTATTAAAAAGAATCATAGTGCCAGTGGCAGAGAACGTGTGAGATAATGAACACTCTTGTTTCCTTCCTGGGAAAGTAACTTCACACAGCCTTTTAAGAGGGCAACTTTGC